CTTCTGAACTACTCAAGTGATTGGAATGAAATTTGCAGGGGAGATTTAACTTGAGACGCAGCCATACTGTGCAAACTTTCAGCTCTCCAGGACAACTTTACATACCTGCATAAGAAGATGTGTCACTTTTTGTTAAGAAATCTATGATATGCAAATGAAGCTACTAAGCATCCTTTTAATTGCTTGAATAGAAAGTGGGGGATGTCGGACTTCAGGTTATCTAGTTTTTATGACTCAAATGTAAATATTTCAGGAAGAGTGATTACCTCAAAATATGAGATGCATATCTGTCCTATGTCAATTTTTGAAAACATAGCTTTTGTCAATGAGGACTTCAACTTAAAACAAAATAAAGTAGATAGCCCAATTCCCCAGTAAATTTCAGTTCAGAAACATCTAGATTGTGGTATCAAAAAAATTTTACCTTCGAACAAAAGATTGCTTTGTATGAAATTTGCAGCAAAAAGTGGAACTGAGAAAAATGCATTTCAACATTGAACTATGTTACTTTGTTACTGCCTTAAAATGTGCTGAAAATATTTTGTATCAACATAACTATTTGGTGCATAGTTATGAAATTTAGTGTAAGGGTGTATAATTAGTTTCTAAAACCAAAAACCTCAAAGATGAAAAATTAGTTTTATTTATTTAGAGACCGTTTTCCACACCAGTGGCCAATTTCCTCGTGACAGTAGTTGTTTACTTATGCAATCTTGTTATATATGATACAATTATCTGCAAAAAGCTGTATTTTGAAGGGAATTTTTTTATGGACGATCGTTAATGGTAGATTAAGAAAAGCAGGGGTCCCAGAACGGAACCCTGCAGAACCCCTGACATAACACTTGTTAGTCTCGATTTGTGATCATTAGTGACGGTGTATTGAATGCGAGGTGCAAGAAAATGAGCAAGCCAGGGGTCTAATCGTAGATATGATAGCTTAGAGAGAAGATGTTGATCAGGAACATGGTCAAAGGCTTTTGAGAAGTCCAGAAATATGGCGTCAGTTTGAACATGACATTCAAGGTTAGTAGGTAACTCGTGAAGAAATTCGCACAGCTGCGTCTCAAAGATAAACCCTTGTGGAAGCCATGATGTCTGAAGAGAAAATTGTTCGTAGACAGGTGAGTCATGATGTGTGAATACGAGATATGCTCTAGAAGTTTAGATGATGTGGATGTTAAGGGGATGGGACGATGGATGCTGTAGACCGAATGCCCTGCTTGCAGATTGGAACAATCCTACCGATCTTCCAATCAGAAGGCAGACAGCTTTCGGAGAGTGGCTGGTTGAAGATGAGATTAAGAAGTTTGCTGGAAATAGCAGCTGTATATTTAAGAATGTTTACATTGATATTGTCAGGGCCTGCTGGGGAATAAAGTTAAGCTCCTCAATAAGCTTAATTATTCCAGTTCTGTTTACAGAAATTGGGGACATAATAACATAACACCCTTCAGGTTGGGTTGGAATATTAGCTGGGGGTCCCTTTGTGAATACGGAAGAGAAGTAGTCATTTCAGACATCAGCACAGTCACTTTCCCTGACTTGATCACTGTTGTGGTCTTTCAGATTCCTGGGAGTGGTTTTGGGTGACATAAGTTTCCACAATTTTGTCGGACTATTGCACAAAATTGTCGGTAAGCTTTCAAAAAAAATTTTTCATTTCGATGATTTAACGTTTTTTGTGTAGTTTCCAAGTGCAGTGTAGTACGAGTCCCAAGCACATGATATGTTGGTTCACTTTGCCTTTGCGAAAAGCAATTTTATTATACCATGGGTTGGACGAGTCGGTGCGAATTTGAATAATAGGCACATACGCTAGCATCAAGTCAGTAATCTAATTCCTTTTATGTCTTTAAAAGGATACTTCAACGAAATTTGAAATATACCCGTCGTGCTCAGAAATAGGTTGAATATGATCCACAATATCCGTAAATGACAATCGCACGTTTCTATTTTGAGCCCAATTGTATTTTTCGTTATAAATGGCCCATGCTGGCAAACGCTTGCACAGCAGCCAGCGGAGAGCGGAGAGCACGTCACATCCGCAGCAATCATGACGTAATTTGTCTCGGGACCTTTCGTCCGGACGCAACGGATGCTGCAAGCTATCCCAGCCAATCCTGCTCCGTGGATGTAGCCCATGATACGCTTTCCGCGCATCGCTGTGCCCCCTCTCCAAGGTCACGTGATATTCACACTGCTTTGGATAAGCCCCGATGGCTCGTAGCATACGCTGAAAGCAGCCGAAGCACAGCAGCGATTCGGCCACTGCACTATTAATTGGGGTTGTGTGGATATTTATACAGCGTGTAGTTGGTCAGTCATTTCAAAGTTGCGATGAGTCACTCGCTGTAGGTGAGTAATCTAGCCAGTGCAGTACAACCGCTAGCCTGGGGTCTTTAACGTGCACCACGCAGAAGTGATACATGACCACACGCTGGTACGATGCTCATCCAGATCGAAACGGGCAGAGGTGGAAATCGAACCCAGGATTCCTGGGTTCTGCAAAGCGAGCTTTCGTTACACACTCCAAGCTGGTGTGCACTAGCCCACTCGGCCAGTGATTCCCTTCGGGCCACCCCAAATAACCCCAAAGCTGTTGTCACAGAATGCAACTATTTTTCTCTATTTTGGAGTTTTTGTGAGGGAGTGCATACGGTTGTCGGTCACCTCTTGCCACGCGGGTTGGGCGGGAGAGCTAGGGCCATCGGCTGGTGCTATTTCGCAACCCGTAGCTAATTAGGAACCGCAGGAGAGGTCCCCTCTCGAGCAGGGTGTGGCGGAAGGTTTTGTTCCCAACTCCGGCGGTTTCTTCTTTTCTTTTTGTTGTTTTGTCAAGAAAAGAAATGAAAAAGTGAGGACCTTGGCTTGGTTCCGAGCCGAGAGAAGGCAGTGCACGCCGAGACGGAACCGGTGGGTGGACGCGAGACGAAAGTTGGGAGCGACAGTGGGTGCGGCGGAAGGCGAAACGCGGGAAGAGCTCGGGGCGGCTCTACAGTCGCCCAAGTGTGTGTGCTCATGGATGAGTGTGGTGCCGAGGGGCATCGCACGGAGCATCCAAGCACACACAGACTTCCCCGTTTCGACCAGCGTCGCAAAGGGCCCGCGTCACCCACACCATTCTCCAGACCCAGGTTCGCATCACTCACCCTCGCAGAATTGGATAACATTTAGAGCTATTATTGTGTTATACCATTTTTTTTTGTTTCTTTGCTCGTGTCTAGCGTCCAGTGTGGATAACACCTTTAAACCGTTGCTGTGCCGGTTATTTTTTTAAGTGTGAGTAGCGCCTGCGCGCTAAAGAAAGCAGCGTGTCCGCCCACCAGGGCGTGGGCCTATCATCCAATCAGCAGTCCTAACCCAATTATAAATTTTTTTACATGGGGATAATCTGGATCTTTTATTTTTTCGAACCTGTGACAGCTGTCTTGGTACGAATTTTGAGTGACAGGTAATAATCTTCTATAATCTTGTAGAAGGACAATAGCAACTTCCGGGACACACAAAAAAGAGAGTTTTCGGAAGAAAACAGTTCCTCCTTCAGCTCTTCTCTTGTCGTGGCCAGAGGCGAGACAGCTACCGTCACTGCCTGCCAAGTTTCTTAGACGGGCATTACAAACGAGGCAGTAGCGACATCCACCAGGTGCTCTTTGCTAATTGTTTGATTCGTTTTAAAATTCATTTTCGTGTCTTTTTCAACAAGAGATTGGTGTGTCTGATGTGATAATGCTCCACTGAACACGAACAGACCTCGCTGCAGTATGTCTTTAAATGGAATTAAGAATGGACCTCAATTGCTCAAACCATTTTGTGGCAAAGAATGATCTACTACAAACCAGCACCAAGTGTTCAGCTATCATTGTCACCATCATGGGGGACCACATGAAAATATTGCATCCCCAATAGACCCTTTATGGAACTGAAATGATGGATAGTTAATGCACAGCCACCATTCATTGGTCTCATCGCTTCCAGCATGAAGTCCATGATAGGATACGAGTTTGGGCCTAGCACTGATGCAGCATTCAGGTGGAATGCATTGCGACCAGAGTTAACTTTGAATACTGATAAAGATCTCATGTCCAATGCATACTTATAGCACATGACCAACTAATGACAACTGCACATCATCTATGCATCATTTCTAAATTTTGAAAAGGGTCTATTGGCTGCTGCTGCTTCGAACATATCCGATGTTGGAGTTCCTCGCCCGTTTCGAGCCAGACTCGACTCTAGCAACTTGTATTGCTGCGAGCCTTAGAAAAGACTTTAGGCACATCACCCTGCGATCTCCCTTTAACTGGCCAGCAAGAGGAGTGAGTGGTATCATGCTCCAATGACTTGACAGCTTTTATCTTTCACTGGGAGTGTATGAACAGTGGAGCGCAATAATAATTGCCTTGCTGACTGTTCACTGCAAAGGCAATATCTGTGCAGTCATGACTGACCACGGAATTCACAAACCTCATTCCAATTGAGGCGCCCCCCTACTTGCTCAAGGAAGGCGCTAAGGCTGGCATTTGCCAATCGCAACAACAGACAGACGACCCTCGCACCATTCTTCAGGAAAGGGAGGGATGCCTCAATTGGAGTAACATTTCTGAATTTGGCAGTGAGTGTGCACGTCAGCGCTTATTACCCAGATGCCCGCAACCAGCTGTGCCAACACGGTGATGCCTCAATAATATGAACACACTCACTGACCCCCAAAAATCGTCCATAATAATGAGACGAAAATGCACGTGTTTATCCAGTTCGTTCTCAACTCTCATCTTGTAGCGGGGTTCCCATATTAATTGGGTCCATATTAGCGAGGCACTACTATGTCCCCCTTTGGGGGTCAGAGAAACGGTCAACTCACAGGTAGTGTTTCTGAACGAAGGTAGAACAGGGCGTGTGCTATAAGTATGCATTAGCCCTGCCTGCTATCGTGCGGTAAACAGGACAAAGGTCGCAGGCACGGGTAAGATTCCGTTATCTCGCTGAGCAGCACATACCCAGGAAACCACCCGGCCATTGAAGCAGGGAAGCTTGGAGTCATCCTCCACGATTTCCTCCTTCACAACTCTGAAAAACGCAAATAAAAAAAAAAGAATAGATAAATAAATAAGTAAAAAGTTCTTTACGCTTGGAAACACCCGTTCAATCGTTCAATCGGCCATGACATGTCGCACTCAACTTCATGCACAGAGTTCGAAAAAATTATCATAACTGCGAAACGCTAGGGTACCGAACGGTTCAAACACTTAATTAAGCGCGTCTAAAAGGCTAACGTTTAAGACAAAAACATGTAAAGTTAGTTGTACTGCGTGCGAACTAGCAATGACTAAAAGATCGGCAGCAGTACAGCGGTATGATCTACGAAGTCTACGTACCAGAAAGAGCACTCAAAAATTGGATCTCAATCATTTTCTGAGCACAGGATAGCGATAAAACCCGTCACCAAGCCCAATCGGCGAGTCCCGAAATGGATATTCACGAAGGGTAGAATAAACTTGAAAACGTAATGCCTGCTTAACGCCCAACACGGTACTTTAACACATGGGCTTTGCCGCACCGCCCCTCCCACAGAATCGACAACTGCACGGAGACCGGAGAAAGCAACGATCAACTCACCCGAAGTCATCGTCCATGGATCGGAAGAAAAATTTGTAATTTGGCCTATTGAGAACATTTTTAAAGTCTGCTAGCGTGACGCGATCTGGAGGAACAAGCACCTTGACCAGGTACGGGGTGTCTTCGTCGTCGATGTGATACAGTATTTTTGTTTCCTCCATCTCTCCGCGTTTGCGTGAAGTGATCCGACGGAACAACAACCGATCGGCTCAGAGCCTCATTTTTTTGACGTCCACGCCAATATGGCGACGGCGCATCGGTAAGCTGCTCAGAGCAGTTCGTCTTCGCGCCGTTCCCCCTTTTGACGGTCACACACACACATCGTAACGCAGGGATCTTCGCTGCATGCACGTAGATGCAGCGGCCACAGGATACGCCGTTTGCCCGGTTTACCCATCATCGTAACGAATCTCGACGAGCACAACACAACGTCCACAAACAACCATCACGCATGCATACAGGGACACGAGAAAAACAAATAAATAGAAAAAAAACAGAAGGCGTCTTATCAGTGTTGCTTACATAATTTCTTGCGTTTCTTCACGCACCTGGCGCGTCCAAGAAAATATGAGAAACCTTTCAGCTTACCAAAATAAAACAAAAATTATGTAAATAAATTATAGGCGAAGTCTGATGTGCGACAGGTGAACAATTTACTAGAAAGTTAATCGCAAGGATTTTAAGATACGCGCCAGATGGCGCCAGAGTAGATTAAATGTCCGATTTTCAGCGCGCTTTTGCGTGTGATGTGCAGGACGTGATGTGTGTGCGTAAACGAAGGTAGATGCACGATTTCGACACCACGTTGACAGCGTGCAGGTCGTGTGCTTGGTATACTTGCCACTAGATTTCTGCTGTGGAGGAACGTGAATGAGATTGGAAAGACCGATTCACAAGTCGTCTGGACATGGCTCCTCGTCGGAAAGCAGCACCGAAACCGGACGCCGTTGACCAAGGTAGAAGACGGAGTTCGAGAACCGCGGGGCGCGGAATAGCGAACGATCCTGCCCCTGCGGCTCCAGCGGCCAAGATCAAGGACTTGAAGAAGGCCAATGCAGTTGCACGCAAGAAGGACACAGCGGAAAGCAATGCTGTCACGCCTGGGCTACCTGTCCGACCAACGAATCTCATCCAATACCTGGACGGCTTCATGCGCCGTGATAAAAGCACGAAGCAACTCCTTGCGGAGGTAGTGTACCCACCCAGTGATATATATATATTTTTTTATTAATACCATTTCTCACACGTGGAGAAAAAAAAAAAAAAAAAGGTTTACGCGTCTGGCTTGCGTTATATTGGGCTTGCGTTTAGCGCGCTCCAACAAAACCACGTGGTTCCCGACTGCTGTCAACAAAGGGTCTTGGGGTCTGTAAATCAGGCAAAACTCTGGGATCAATTAAACGGATATTATCTAAACGTAAATTTGATTAAGTTTCTAGAACAGATATATGCAATTAACATGGTAGTTATGATTTAGGAAGCCGAAACCACAAAACCAGCAGTAATAAAAAGGACTTGGGCAGGGTTGCCCATTGTCTTCCCTGTTCTTTGTGACATAATTTAGTAAAAAAAAAATAATAATAAAGAAAAAAAGATTAAAGCACTGTAATTTAGCATTTAATCTGACTTACATAGAGGGAGGGAAAAAAGTAAATCAAGTTTTACTATGGCTGATGTATGCACATGACATTGTACTTGTAGCAGAGTCAAGAAACAATGCAGGTACCAATTAGAATTTGTGGCGGAAAAGGGGACACTTTAGGCCTAAACTTCAGTAGAGGAAAACCCGCAGGATACTGCCAAGTGTCCCAAAGAGCGGCCAGCCTCTTTAAATCGACTGCAAAGTTTGGTTTCTTAACCATCGTGCTATGATTTTGTGCAGCGTTGCCCTCAGATGGTGCTTTTTTTTTTTTTTTTTTTTTAATTTGCAAAGAGTGAATTTATCTGAGGAAAAAAAGTAAAGAAAGAAAAGGGCTTAACTCCTATGGAAACGCAGTGAAGCCACCGGTCTTCAAACAATATGGCGACATTTTGCACGGGACGCAAGAGATGGCGCAAGGGGTCACAACGCCAACTGCTGCCAACGAACGAGCATACGGCACCAAGAGCCGGCGTCATTAGCAGACAATCTTTATGACTCAAAAGCGGCTCGAGCTTTTGTGAAATTAGTTTCCAATGCATTATTTTATCGTCCTTATAATAAAACACATTGAATTGACACATAATCGATTACAAGAATAGTTTGCCAAGGTATTTTGACTTCTTTTTTTGGGGGGTACTTATGTTGTCTGCTTTGCAGCTCCTTGTTGTATCACGCCCGTTTTTGATTCTGCGACTGTCGCTGCCTGCTGAACGCGCGCCACTTTTGAGTCTAAAAGATTGTTTAGTAATGACGTCCGGGGCCGTATGTTTGTTGGTTAGCGACAGTTGGCGTCGTGACCGCTTGCGCCATCTCTTGTCTCCCGTGCCAACAACTCCGTATTGTTTGAAGACCAGTGGCTTTGCTGCGTTTCCATATGAGTTAAGCATTTTCTTTCTTTACTTTTTCCTCAGATAAGTTCACTCTTTGCAAATTTTACAAATAAATGCACCCTCTGTGTGCAACGCTACACAAAATCATAGTGCGATAGGTTAAGAAACCGAATTTTGCAGACTATTTAAAGAGCTTGGCTGCTATTTGGGACGTCCGGTAGTTCATAACGACGCGGAGGAGGAACCTCTGGAGATGCAAGGCACTGTAATAGAATATCTAGAAAAGTACAAATATCTGGGAGTATGGTTAAATGAGGGAAGAAAGTATCTAAAAGAACATGAATATATTGTAATAAAGAAGGGCAAACGGGATTCAGCTATTATGAAACACAAGGCACTCTGGAACTATAATAGATATGAAGTCGTTGGAGGTTTATGGAAGACAGTCTTGGTGCCAGGACCGTCATTTGGGAATGCAGTATTGTGTATGAGGCCAGAAATCCAGGCAGGTTTAGAGATACAGCAAATTAGTGTGGGTAGGTTGATTGGGGGCACATTGGAATACACCAAATGAGGATTATGGGGGATATGGGTTGGTCATCTTTCGAGAGTAGAGAAGCGATCGGTAAAGTAAACTTTGAACAGCTGAAATTAAGGATATGTGGTGGGCAGGGAAAGTACAAATATCTATACATGAAAAGTCTAAACACTAAGTGGACAAACCAAACCTGTAAGCTGAGATCTAAATACATTCAACGAGGTGGAGCTGATCAGAGCACATCAGTAGAAAAGGGAGTGAAGGAGACTGAGAGAAAATTGTGGGAAGAGAGAATGCAGGGGAAATGAGCTGTAACCATATACAGGGCGAAAAAGCAAGAAATAAAGAAGGGACAGTTGTATGATAATTCATTGGGGAGCTTATTGCTGTTTGAAGCTAGAAGGGGTGCTAAGAACGAAAACTTATATGGCTAATTTCCAGGAAATAGACACTCTATGTGACGTATGCAACCGCAAAAGGGAAACTATAGAACATGTAATTTTAAGGTGCACGGGGCTTCGTCCCACCCTCTTGGGGGGAGGGGGGGGGGGGGACGGACTGACTATGGATTTGGAGGGGGCACTAGGATTTGCAGACATGGATGGACGAATAGATAGGGAAAGAATTGTGGAAACTAAGAGGAGATTGGAAGATTCGTGGAAAGGATGTAGGGAGGGGTGAAAAGGTACACATAGCAGAGCGCGTTGGATAGATTACAGTTCACACTGAAAGAATAAAAACACAGAAAATACACGAGGGACAGACACACAGTTCTTTCAACGAACAACTACAACTACATAATGGGCATCATTTAAATGTAGTTGCTCGTTGAAAGAACTGTTTGTGTCTGTCCTCGTGTATTTTCTGTGTTTTTATTCTTTCAGTGTGAACTGAGGGGTGAAAATACAGATAAAATAACTAATGGGAACTCTTTAAAGGGGGGAGTGTTGCATTAGAACAAAATTTATACAAACTTTAAAGACGAAGGTGTGACAAAATGTTAGGCTAGGGGGCGCAAGCTGCTCCCCATAACAAAGGGTATAGCCATTACCATTCATCCATCCAAACCTTTCATGTGGTTCCCCCAGTTCTCCTTCTCCAACCTCCCCCCCCCCTTTTTTTCCCTTTTAATTCTAAACAAAAAAACAAACAAAAAATCTTGTTATTAAATCTGAAAGAAACAAAAAGAGTAGCCCTTGGGGGTGTAATTAAAATGAAAGATTTCTCTGGCAACTGCTTGACTATGTCAGCCAAGTAGCAATCATAATACTGTAGGCGTTGCCTACCAATACAAATAAAATGTTGGGGCACGTTTATTTTGGGTGTACTACTGACGTGCCAGAGTTTGTGAGCATGTTAGCAAAACAACAAGGGCACGTGGAAGAAGAAGTCTAGGGTGTCTAAAAGAACCAGGCTTGATTTAAAATGTGTTGTAAAAATCAGCACCTGCACATAGCAATCTAAACTTTTCATCAAAGGTGTATTTTATAGGTTGGTTTTATCCTGTAAAATTACAAAGCGTAGCTTCTTTTCTGTAAAATATAGAGCCAAAAGACTTGCCAGGGTCAGTAGCGGACGACAACGCATACGACTGAGTCGAGTGGCAAGGCACGTTGGTTGCCCGTTCGTATTGATAGATAGTGTCGGGAGCAGTGTCAGGAGGTGCAGCCAGCCAGCAAAAGAAAGCAGACGACACACAGAAGAAATCTGTCGGGAGCAAGAGTGCAATCATTTATGCAACAGCTTTTTCTTTTTCTTTTTTTTTACAATGAAATTGTTATACGCTAGGGTCTGGGGAAAAATGCCTCCTCACATGTCGACAGAAAACTCCCCATTTGTCATGGCAAACATGAATAAATAAAAACAAACAGAGGTGGCAACCAGTATGAGTAAGCCTTCCTTGGCGTTATCAGATAGTGAGGTCCTGATTCCTTGTTATCATTTCTAGGCATCATCCGAGAGGTTGTCCTAGGCGTCGTCCTCGAGATCGTCCTAGACATCGTCCTAGAAGTCGTCCTCAAGGTAGCCTTGAGGTCGTCCTCAAGGCGTCTTTCTAGAAGTTGTCCTTGAGATGGTCCTCTAGGCATCGTTCCAAAAAGCCGTCCTTTGGGTCGTCCTAGACGTTGTCCTCAAAGCCGTCCTCGAGGTTGTCCTAGGACTTGTCCTTGAGCTCGTCCTAGATGTCATCCTTGAGGTTGTCCTAGGCGTCGTCCTTGAGGTCGTCCTAGGCGTTGTCCTTGAGGTCGTCCTAGACGTCATTCTAGAAGTCGTCCTTGAGGTCGTCCTAGACGTCGTCCTCTAGGCATCATCCTAGATGTTGTGAAGATAATTAACCAGTATGAGTAAGCCTTCCTTGGCATTATCAGATAGTGAGGTCCTGATTCCTTGTTATCATTTCTAGGCATCATCGGAGAGGTCGTCCTAGGCTTCATCCTCGAGGTTGTCGTAGAAGTCATTCTTGAGGTCGTCCTAGACATAGTCTTAGAAGTCGTCCTCTAGGCGGCGTCCTAGAAGTTGTCCTTGAGATGGTCCTCTATGCATCGTTCAAAAAGCCGTCCTTGGGGTCGTCCTAGACGTTGTCCTCAAAGCCGTCTTCGAGGTCGTCCTAGGAGTTGTCCTTGAGGTCGTTTGAGGTCGTCCTGGGCGTTGTCCTTGATCTCGTCCTAGATGTCGTCCTTGAGGCCGTTTTAGGCGTCGTGCTTGAGGTCGTCCTAGACGTCATTCTAGAAGTCGTCCTTGAGGTCGTCCTAGACGTCATTCTAGAAGTCGTCCTTGAGGTCGTCCTCTAGGCATCATCCTACATGTTGTGAAGATAATTAACAGCTTCGCTGCTTCTCCATCTTCACGTAAAGTGGAAGGGCTCTACAATTTTTAATTTAAGTTTTGCTGTTAGTGTTTTCATTTATATTTAAACCAAAGGTACATTACAAAAAGAATATGTTAATTTTAATAGACTACAATCGTCGTGAGCAGTCTCGATAAGGAGGTAGTGTCATCTATCAATACGTGCACCCTGCCACTTGACTGGGCCGTCTGTATCGCCATTCACCGTAATTGTGGCAAGTTTTCTGGTCCTAGTTTTTTTTTTCTGAAAGGGAGATATGCTTTGTAATTTTACAAAGTAAAACCGACCTGCCTTTGACACCTTTGACAAAAAGTTTAAATCGCTTTGTGCAGGCACCGATTTTTATGGCCCATATTTAGATCAGGCCTGCTTATTTCAATCACCCTATTTACAAAGGACATAAATGGCTAACCACTTTTAACTAAATAGAATCAAAGGAAATTGAATTTGGGTATGATGAACCCACAGGGGGGAAAAAGCTGCATACTGGACCGGTCATCCTGTTCCACCTTCTCCTCATTGGGCAAATTTTCCATGGCCCAAGAGGTCATGTTGCATTTTTAGAGTTGCAGCCAGCCTGCCAGAAAGGTTTGGGACATGGCCACCATACTCTTCCTCCTTGCTGTCCTTACGGCCGCTGGAGGTCCGTGTTTCAATGGGCTGTCACGAAGGTGAATGGGTGCAGTGCAAGCGAGCACTGACTTTATTTTTATGCAGTGCTGAGGTGAACTACTTGGTTAACGAAGCAGTCGAAATCGAAACCATGCCAGTCCTCTTCATGACTAAACTGCTCCCATAATGCAATGTGTGCAGCGTTGCATGCAGGGATTTTTGAAAATGACTATTCTTAATTGTTGAAAATGTGGTTATTATTTGTACTTTATGTTATTCTGTGCATCTTTCATCATGTGTTTATTTTGTGTAGCCTTTGTTGTCTGCTAGATGTTCCTGTATGAAGAAAAATGAGGAATGTGCAGATTGGTCTCTGAGATCGCTAGAATAAAGGGATGCGTACAATAAAGGTTGTCTTTTTCCATGACCGTTTGCAATGTGTCGCAGTTCAAGAGGCAACTCCTCGCCGACAACATTCTGAAATTCGAAGTGAAGCCACCGACGGCAGGGCTGCAGTTTCAGCAGTTGGCACGGATCACTTGCATCGAGTGGCACCCCAGCCAGCCAGAGCTCTGTGCTTTCGGCTCCAAAACGGGAGAGATCGTCCTCTGGAATTCTTCGGCGCCCGACAAACGGACCGGGACTCCTCCGGTTAGATTTCTTTTCGTTCAAACCTGCATGTTTTTCTGCGTGTTGCATGCTATTATGACAGGCCTACTGGCCTACATTATGTTTGCTTTGGTGGACAATGGCTTTAAGATGACAAAGCCACTGTCAAGGTGAAAATAGGTCTTTCAGTTTTCTCGTCTCCAGCGCAAGCTTTCTACCTCTGATAACATTTTGGCATCTCATGAGCTTCGAGCATGCACATTCAAAGCACAATTAACAGAATGTAACGATTGAGTGTGTGCTGGAGTCCAGGCACCCAAAAGAGCTGCCCTGCTGTTTTTATTCTGTCAGTGGCTACTCAAAATTTCATTGTCTGTATTCAGTTTCCTAAATGTGCATGAAACGAGCTATGAGGTAAGCCCCATGCCTCATTCGGTAAGTCTACTTGGCATGCATGTATAAGAGAATTAGTATGGCTGTATGGACCATAACTCGTGGTTTCTTCAGTTTCTGGACATCCAAAATCCCCTTCATATAGTTAAAAAAGAAAAATTATGAAGCTTACAAACCTTGTTAACAAGGGCTATACATATTCTGATAGAGGGGGGAGTGTTTGCCTCTTAATTAAGCATCAGTACATGGCACAGCTATGCTTCATTTGTTTAAATTGGAAAGAACACTTTCCATATGTGTATATGGATTGCCAAAAGAATATTGGTACACAATTCCAGTATGTGTTCCTGATTGACGTGATCGAGTTCTGTCACTATAGGGCGACCCTCCATGTCATCTTAGATTTAAAAAGTCTTTCAAAAGTTGTTCTTGTTCTCTAATTTCATTCAGCTGATCTCAATTCTTCATATCTTTATGGGAATGGAAACTCTCCTGTAGGGCAGCAGCTGCTGGAGCAAAAGCCAGTTAATAGCCGGGTCATGCGGTCACAGCTCGGTGATACCAGTTATATCTTTTTTGACTGGCATACTGTTTTTGGCTATTTTAATCAGCTTCGAGTTTAGCCACAGGCCAACTGTATACACACTTCCTTCTTTTTGGGGGCCAAGCAGGGAATGCAAACTCTAACTCGATTCTACTTTATAGCTACAGAAGCATGCACATATCAGGAAATGAGTTTGCATAGAAACTTGTCCATCTTTTCTCAGGCTGTTCAGTCGGGCGTTTCTTGATGCAGATGGGCAATGGGGGTTCAGTGGCTGCAATGAAGTTCCTCAAGGGCGATGCACAGCGGATGTACACGGCCACACTTCTTGGACGGGTGATGCTGCAGGATTTCGGCGGTGCCCAGCCCCAAGTCTTCAGCGACACGAACAGTCACGAGTGAGCGTCATGTTTTCAAATTTTGTTGTAGTCGCTGTTGTAGGTTTTGTAATTTCCTACATTTACAGATTTTTGAGGTGCTCAAACTCTGATTTCCGTGGCTCCGTGGCTAGAAATATATGTGCCTTAAAATCCTGCCGTCCCCACGTTGCTGAAAATATAGCACTTTTTAAATTGAAACATAAGTACCGCCGCATGTTCATCAACGTTCCTGTTCTTCTTTAAATCATGCGCTACTGCAAAAATCCTTCTTTAAGTCAAAGACTTCCGTGTCGAAATATTGATTACCTTTTCTCTCGATGGGCTTTCTTTCGAGAGGGACCCCGGTACGTGAAAAATTTGCTGAGGAAGAAAGTTGGTGAAGAGAAATGAGCTAAAGCAAAGAAGGCAATGTCTGCACACTGAACCTGCACAGTGCGATTATTTGTCTCAAGTTCAGTCATTGCACAAAGCGCTCAAAGAACTTTTTGACCCTGGCTCGCAATGTCTTGCATCAATGTGCTTAGGTTGTTTTTTTGTCTGTGTTTTTAGCTTGTACCTCGCCTGCTGGCCTGGCAATTACGTGCCGCTGGACTGTTTTTTGTCGTATGCTGGACAGTTATATTTTGCCTACAATTTTGGGGGCGTGGTTTCGGTTTCGATCGAAGAGCCGTTGTCTCCGCTTGAGTGACGAAGCATGCGCAAATCAAGCCTGCTGAAGTTGCCCTCATGTGCATGCAAACATGATTGCACGACCAAGGCACCAGCCGGGACGCTTGCAATCCATTGTTTCATGTTTGCTTACTTTTGACAAAAATCTGGCATGTTGGGAACCATTAAAACAGTAGCAAGCGGTCTTTCGGAATTGTTCGGCAATGCCTTCAGCACTGTACACTTGTGGGATGACTCTGCGGTAAAGACACAAGCAGCGGGTTCCGTCACAACACGTCACATCACAACAGAACACAAAGTGCCCTTCGTTTGTCCAGCACTTAAAACACATATTTTTATTTTTCTAAGAATAACTGCTCCAAAAGCCACTTTAGCTGCTCCGAAACACTGTTTTGGTTGCTTCAAAAGCCAATTTTGCTGCTCCAAAACACTGTTTTGGCTGCTCCAGAGGCCACACTTGCTTCTCGAAAGCACTGTTTGGGCTGCTCCGAAAGGTGCTCCAAAATGGCTTAAAGCCAGTCGCATCACTGAGTCACATCACAGCGCCGCCGCAGCTCCGTGACGTCAAGCCCGTGTCAGTCGATAGAAGAAGACGAGGTGATCAGAGTACTATATGAAAATATAACAGTGAAGATAAAACAAGGGTATGTAGAGAGTATTGAAAACATAATATGAACAAGACAAGGCTACACAGGCATCTCTTTCATTGTGTCATTCCTTGTCTTGTTTGTTTACTGTTTCTATATGCCCTGACCTCCACCTTCCTGCTCTTCAGCTTGTAATGTAGGCTTGCAAATCTTTTCTTTTAATATAATACTGAGAGAGAATTCAGCAATGACCTTGCCAATTGTTTAATCCAGGGGCATAGACCTAGAGACAAAAGCTATTTAGCTCCATTGAAATGATGCTGACATTTTAAGTTTACCTTGCTGAAGTATTAATCACACTAAAACCTGAGTTACCTTTTTTTTTAATTTTAAGTATCTCGTTTACATTTTAATTATGTTTTCCAACAATCCCTCAAAAACCTTTTGTAGCATTATAATAGTATAAACACCCAGTGGCAAGTACTGCGACGCAGATGGTTTTCTTTCTTCACAATTTCAGGGTCTGGTTCACGGCTCTTGACGTCTGCTACCAGCAGAAGTTGATACTTGCTGGAGACAATGTCGGCAAGGTTTACGCCTTTTCACCGGAGGGGAAAGTGGTGAGTTTACTTTCCTTGTTCATTATGGCTGGTACCTATGCAGAGAGCAAGTCGTCTGCTTCTTGCACAGGAGCTGCAGTGACGTCAGAATTACACTGAGCTCTGATTGGCTTTGATGTAAAGGATACTGGGTAGACCTCAATGCTAGATGCCTTGAGGTGTACCGACCATTTTTTTCAATCAGCCGATAAGAGCTCGGCGCTCTGACATCATCGGAACCCGTGTGCAAGAAGCGGACAAACTTGGGCTCCGCATAGGATAGGGTTTCAACTGATACATGTTTGGCGCTGCGCCGTGTAATGGTGCTCCATCGTCAATGCTCCATGCTAATCTCGGGGGGTGGAGCATTGTCTTCATTTCTGTGGCATGGTGGTCGGGTGCATTAACAGAAGCTGCAAAATCGCTTGTCAGGTGACTGTAGATAAAGCTATTTGTGGAACTGCATTATATCTGGGAAAGTTGGCAATATGCTGCAACGATTCCACCAAAGAAACAGTGGTACCAATAATAATGGTAATAATATTAATAATTTTTATTTGCACAGTTTTATTTTTTACTCATCAGCATGCAAGGCTAGGCAGAAAGATTAGGTCCCTTGCACAAGTGCACCTGCTAGCCCACAGCTGAGCGGGTGTAAACACATAAGCATATAAATACGCATCACTTATTATGAAGAAAGCAACACACAAACAGGGGACAGAGACAGACATGTGCAACGTTTCAATTCACAATAACATTTATTCGAAGCCTGCAGAATTCCGCACACAGAGACATTGGCTGAAGAAGGAGGGGAAAAGGGGAAGTAGATTGAAAGGTGGCGCATAACTGCAAAAACATGAAGGCAGAGTGGCCGACACACGTGCAATGACAGCGACGTCAAGCCAAGAGCATGTGACTGACAAAAACCAGACCACCATCCTCTCCGCCGCCAACCACCCTGCTGTTCTCCTGTGGACCAGCGGCCGCCGCATCACCCCCAAACATGCCAATCCCCGCCTCCCTGGCGCACACATGCACGACCCTTGGAGCCCCTGATGCCTGATTTCCCCCCTCCCTTCTTAGCTGCCGCGGTTGCTCCATGGCGTACCATACATATATACAAAAAGTTTCTTATTCACTAACTAGGGGGTGAGCGTGATCGTATCATCTCCGGTCGTGGAAAATCAACCTCCGGCCTCGGTGAAGGTGTCGCCACTTTAGAGCCAGATAACGTCATTCAGAATGCCTCATTCACCTCGCTACCACATCATTCCCGGTGTCCTTTGAGGATACGTAGTTGTTTTCAAATTTCGGAACGAATGTGTTGCAGCCTTTCGTGTGGACTGCAGTCAGGTGAAGAGAGCCCTCGGCTGGCGACGTACACTCCCTTTTGTACTCACAGAGGCGGTCATTCACGCGCCGTCCCGTTTGGCCGATGTATTCCGTGCCACACTGCAGGGAGATTGAATAAACCATTTGTGTGGTGCACCATACGTATGCTGTGCCATGTCTTTTTTTTACACACACTGGTAGAGAACTGCCTCCGTTTACCGGCTTACACATGGACTTCAGTTTAAAGCTGCATCTAAATGCAACCTTTTTCCCGTACCGGGTTGCCAGGGGCCGAACGCTGTGGATGTTCGGGATTCCGACCTTTCTACCACGTGGTAGGACTCGTGCTGAGCAGTGAGCTCTGTTTGCTACGAACTGCTGCATGACGGAGCAGGCCATGTCTACAGGGTAACCAGCCCCGCTCAGGCATTCAAACTAACTTTGTGTGCTCTGTGCCAGATGGTGGAGACACGACTTTGCACAGCCAAAGGAGATGAGAGATTTTATTATCCCCACCTTGACCGACCTCAAATGAAAGCTGCAAAAGGGAAGCGTGGGCTTCACTGATCGCTGTTTGTATGCACAGCAGATCCCCATTGGCGTCAATGTCATTCGGATGTCTGGGAATTGTGGCCCTTCATTTGTGGAGTCCTCGCTCTCAAAGTTGAGGCATTACACACGCGTTGGCCACTCTGCCTTCTCCTTGTTTTTGCAGTTATGCGCCTCCTTTCCATCCACTTACCCTTTTCCCCTCCTTTCCCAACCGATGTCTTTGTCGGCAGAGCTCTGCTGGCTTCGAATAAATGTTGCTGTGAACTGAAAACTTGTACATTTCTGTCCCCTGTCTGTGTTTTCCTTTCTTCGTATTAATTATTAACCCAACACGCTCGTCAAACTCATCAACGTATGAATACACCTACAGGAAAAACAAAACAGGCTACAAAGTGAAAATGATAAGTACACGCCCTCGTCCCCAACAAGGACCATAACGAAGGACACAGCACGGCACACCAAAACCAAGGTGTTTGTCTCTTCCCCTTTGAAAATGTCTTACTAGGTCCAGTTGGAATCGCAACTGGGAATCAACTCCCAACTAGGCCCCAACAACTTGTTACGGATTTGCAACAGATTGTTGGTTCAACCTGCGTGTGCAGTGATGCAGTGGATTAATTGTCCCGAGTGTTTGTTGAACTAGTTGATTTTAACAAACTACACACCTAACAATTTTGTTCCACCTTGTATGTTTTCTTTCGTCCCATTCTCTTTGGTGCATGTACCAGTTGCATTACCTTGAAAGCAGGCGTTCTGAAACTTCTCAATCTCAAAGAACACCTTACGGTCTCTGCATTGTCTTGGTGAAGTAGCTCAGAAGCCTACATGGTACTTTGTAAACAATAATATGCCTTCTAGGGAATGATGTAAAAATTAAATAGCGCAAAGGTTAGACAAAGGACAAAGGACAGAACATGTAGACAGGACAAGCGCTAACGCTTGTCCTGTCTACATGTTCTGTCCTTTGTCCTTTGTCTAACCTTTGCGCTATTTAATTTTTACATCATGCATATCCAACTAGCCCACCTCAATATCTTAGTACAATTTCTAGGGTATGCTTGGCGCCTAAAAAAAGACACTAACACCCCCCAAATTTTTTTTTTTTTTTCATTTTTTGTTAGGCATTTATTACGGTGTCTGAATACTACTTAATTAATATTTTGCTACAGAGTCTCATATTTTTTTAATAAAGCCAAAAAATGTAACTGCTCGAAACCGAAACCCTCACACAGCAGACGAAATGCGTTGCGGGATCTGTTTTCCGTGCAATTTCCTTGCAGTTATGTTTCTTCCGCTCGCTGTTCTGTATTTCAAGATGAGTTGTGATGTACATTTAAGGGTTGGCAATTAGTAGTGAGTGCCCGTGGTGACTTCCCATGATCGGCTCCGAAGAGAATACTCCCAAGATGTTGCGTGAAGAGCTGCCTCATATGTCCTGCATCTGAAAGTGGCATTCTGCGGCAGAGTGCACAAGTTTCTGAAAGGTCAACGGGTCGGAATCATTGGCTGGCCGCAGTTCCTGTAGAACAGTTACGGGAACCTCGGAAAGCGGACGCTACCCGATTCGTATGCTTTTTGCATTTGGTGGAAAGTGACTACATTCAGTTCGCAGTTGTCAAAAGTGGAATCCCATACCATTTAGTTCAGCGACGTATCATCCACATCAATTATTTTTTCAGTGATAACTGTAAAAAAAGAAATGTAAACATCGCAAAATGTTTGATAAAAAAAAAAAAAAAAAATGAACAGTACGCCCACACTAGGGATTGAACCCGTGCCCGCTGCGTGTGAAGTGGACGTCTTACCACTAAGCTACTGAAGGTACTCTTTCATTCGTAGTAATGCAGCCAGTTGACTGTATGTTGGAATGTTTGCTGCCGATTTCTGTCCAGCACATGCACTCCTGGCTTGAAGTCGGGCAGCACCACGCATTGGCCACATTCACACCTAGTAAAGAAACCGTACACGTGCGTATTTAACTAGAAGTATGCACTTCGTGTTTGACATATGAGCGAGCGATGTCTTCAGCCACAAGAATGGACGACGGCTCGGCGACGTCTTCGTGCAATCAGCTTGCTGGTCGGGCGTGTCGTACAGGATGAATATCAATTCGTTGGAATGGTCCAAAATTTCTCTTTGGAAGGAAGACAGGATTCGCCGGTACCGTGAATGACAGTTCTGAAGTAGAGGTCCCACGCCCGTCGTCCGCTGCCATCCGCTAGTCCCACGATACGCGAAACGATGCCATATTGACAATTATGCAGTGAACGCACAGAAGGCTTCCGGTTGTCTGTGCAACCTTTTTTATCAATCAACATATTTCTAGCTTTTTGGAGGCCACGAAAAATGGGTTTCATATTTTTTCTATTTTGAATATTGACGTGTGCCTTCAATGACCCACGACTGTGATTCAATTTGGTGGTCTTGTCTAAACCTTAGAAAACGGCCCGTGACCACAAAAAAGAGAGTGAGCGCGGTTCGAACCGGCCAGTTCTCGATCGGCGGTTTTCAAGCGGAAAGAAACCGAATTTTAAACCGTAAATTGTGTTCTGGGTAGTTGGGCTCTCATATGTCACGTACAACTAAAAACCTCGGCGAGCATGAATACCCTGTCAGTGTCCCTTAATCATGCTCCAATGAATGGCTCAGATCTTCTAATATAGTGCTGAACTTGTAAAACACTTTACTTGGGGATAGGGATGATCAAGGAAGTTTGAGAGCTTGGGAAACCCCTGAGGCCATTGAGGCTGTTCCAGGGAACACCAGGGTCCCCAGGAACCCTGTCTGAGAACCTCTGGTCAAGGCTTCGAATAAGTCTTGTGGCACGACCGCAAGCTGAGTCCACCACATTACGATTTTGAACTGCCTCGGATCTCTGCAGTTATGGCCCAATCCAGTGCGCCTGCACAAATCCAAGGTGAAGCACATTGAGTTCAGCAAGAAGGACCCCAACCTGGTGCTGACCGCCTCCGTGGACCACACGGTGAAGCTGTGGGATGCCCGCCGACTGACGGGACAGAAGGACTTCCTCTTTTCACTCGAGCACAAGCACGGTGTTAACTCAGGTGAGGCTGCTTTCTTGCTCTCTTTAATGGCAGCAGTGACAGGAATGGAAGTGCTGTGCCATTTGGGCCAAATCGCGCCCCGGCACACCTTGTGGCAAGGCGCCATTTTTGCTACGAATTTTGCCACACCTGCGCCAAGGTGAGCTCAAAGAGGAACTCTGCCAATTTTTTTAACTACCTAATTCAAAAACATCATCTGAATGCAGATGGCTTCCTGATCCGAAGTGCTATCTCGTTTCGCTAGGTTCACCCTAGTTAATTTAAAAAGTTATATTTTGTTCGCTGCCAAAACCAAAACATTGTTCGTACTAGATTTTTCGTTTTTCCCGCCATCTAAACGTGACGTCACCGCAGGGGCGGATCCAGACCTCCATTTTGGGGGGGGGCGGTTCCTCGGCGTAAAACGGGGGGGGGGGGGGGGGGGGGGGAGGAGGAGGAGGAGGAGGAGGAGGAGGAGGAGGAGGAGGAGGAGGAGGAGGGGGGAGGGGGGGGGAGGGAGGAGTGTTTATATTTTTTGTGGAGTCATCGTTTTTACTAAACTCTAATAACATAATATAGGTCTTGAGAGCTTTTGTATCGGTTTACCTGTAGCGGATGAACTCTTTGAACTTTCTGTGGCTATGCACACCAAGGCACACGCTCCCGTACTTTTGACTGCATAGCCTCAGAAAGCTGGGCATCTGGCCAACGCAATGTCTCTGCTCGTGCGGAAAATCACATGCAATTGCAAGCCTACCAAAGCTATATTCACGTGCACGCCACACGTGCCTGCTCGTATGAAGCACCAGTCAGGACGCTACACTGCAGCGTCCTGACTGTAAATTTGACCGTAAAATTTACGGTCAAATACCAGGCAGCTGATGCTGCCAAACTTGTACAGTAAAAATAACGGTGCACTGTAAATCTGGCTTACGATAAATTTAAACGGGGACCGTAAAAATCTACGGTCGGCCTTCAAATTTGCGGTAAAAAAAAAATTTACAGCGCGCCGTTATTTTTACGGTGCAATTTAAACGGCGAGAAAGGTGGTAGTATTCAGGTTTATAACATCATTGTATAGTGATGTTATGAACTCAATGATGTTATGAACCTCGACTGAACCAAGCACGTTTTGAAGGCTTTTAGCAAGTTGGCCGAACATGTATTGTTTGTACAAGAAATGCCGACGTTGAAATTCGTAAATGGTTTTTTGAACTGTTGATACCGGCATAAGAAGCGTTCCGTTGAACTTTAGGTACAAAAAAAACAAAACAAGGTCGTATTTTACGGCCTTTGTTTTTTCTCCTGCAGACAGAGACATTAACACGTCGTAGTTATCATTAGGGGATTGCATCACGTTAACAGCACTGTCTTCATTAGAATCCGCACTAGTCGACCGAGTCGAAGAGTCCTCAACCTGAAGCGGGCCTGCAGGCGATGCGCCGTCGCCCAAAAGACCCGTCACTCGTAAATGCACCCAGTTCAAATGTGCCGTGATCGAACTATGATTTCACACCTTCTGACAGTTGGAGCACGAACACGAAAACAAAATACTGTCGGTGATGTGGTCTTTTAGATGTTTTAGCAAAGCCTCCCTTGTGTGGCACTCCTCTAGGCATGGTGGCAAAGTGCACTGAAAGCTTTTCAAACTCCTCGAAACAAACCAAACTTCCCTTAGGCGTACCAATGCCTATGTCTTCTCAAAATATGACACCTGAGAGCATCATACGTAACAAACTGGCGACAGCATCCTTCGTCCACACACTAAGAATTCGAGAGCTGAAAACGTGCTCATCAAATTGCACAACCATCAAGCGTGCTTGAACAGAAACTACAAATTCTGCAAGTAAACATCTTTTAGAGTGTTGTATTTATGCCACCATTACACTATCCTTGCCAATCAAGCAGCAGATTGATAGTGAAATACCTGCCTCAAGTATCCAGTTGCCTTCCGCTCCAAATTTTCAGGTGCACAGAAATCCGGGAATGCCACAAACGAACAAGGACAAAATGGCGCGGAGACGGGTGGGAAGGCGGGAAAATGAACTGAACGTCAGCTTTTTCCACTTCTTTCCGCGTTGTCCCAACCAACGTTCCTTTCTTTTGTTTATGCTTCTAGCACGTCGCATTGTTGCTCTACTGTTTGCTCTTAGTTCTCTTTTTTTTCTTTTCTCAGTTAAGGCAGTTACGTTCTGCGTTGGCGCGGCTGGCGCGGACAAAGAAAAGAGGTGAAGGGGCGAGAGGAGACTCTCCGGGTTCCCGCAGCTCCCGAAAGGTCAAGCGTGGTGACCAATTAGCGAAGCGCGTCTTTTCTTTCTGTTTTCTTGCTCCATGAAGTTTTGCGTTTCCCTCTCGGTTTTTTTGCTCGTTTACGGTGCATTTCAGATAATTCCTCTTCACGGCGTACTTGTATTTTTTATTAGCGTATAGCGCCGTAAATTTGACGGTTACTTTTTACAGTGTATGCTTTCGAAGCTAAGCGCTTGTGAGCCCGAGCATGCTGGGTGCCGATAAAAGCTGCGCATAATGCCTGGTTACTACTACTGATATGTCAAAAAACACCTCGACCGCACGAACACTCGTGTGGGGGAAGCTCCAAAACTAATAGATTGCGTTTGTCCAAAGTGAAGTAGGTTAAGATGGGCCAAATGAGACGCGGGGCAAAATGCGACAGTTGGAGTGAAGGCACCCAACGAAAGTTTTTGTTTAGTGCCAGCTATCACCTAGACACAAGTTTCAAGCTTCACTGAGACGTGCCTTAGCCTGTTCACTTTGCGTGAGCCAGAAATGACTGCCTTTGGCAAGTCCTTTCCGGAGAAAAACAAATGCCGATTTGAGATTGCCAAGTTGACCGCCCGTCAAAGAGGTGCACAATTCCGCGCGAGATTTCGCTTCGAGAAGTACGCCCCGGTTGGCACAGACTTTCTACCAAGGTATAATTTAATTTCATTCCTAAGTTTTATTTGCTTCATGCAGACCAAATTTGAGTGTTCAGCGTGCTTTTTTTTACGGAAATAATTATTCACGTAACGGGATACGCGCGAGACAAAACGCGACAATGTGGCATTGTATGACGCGTGTGTCAATAATGTGCCAGTTTCCTGGTTGTTCCTGAGTCATATTTTCTTCTCGGTGTCTAGGAGGATCAAAACGTACAAAAGAAAGACAACAGGGGCTTCATGGCGCATAAGTAACACTACGAATGCTCTTGAAAGTGAAGCAACAGCGTCACTCCCTTCGCGTTGCCGCCACACTTTTTGGCGTACCAAGGGATGTGCTTTAAAAGTGAGCAAAAAGACAAAAAATGGAAAAAGCAATGGCTCCACAAAAAAAAAAAAAAAAAATGGCGACGCGTTTGGGGGGGGCGATTGCCCCCACCGCCCCCCCCTTGGATCCGCCACTGCGTCACCGGCGAGCAGCGACCGTGTGGTCGTTAATCGGGTATGCTCGTGCCTGCCTTTCTCGCGTCTAACAGTGAGAAAACGGACCCGTTTGTGCTATTTGAAGTTGAGAAAAGTCTCTAGTTGCACAAAGTATGACCTTGGCCTATTTGCTAAACTATGAGAATAAAAAAAAAGGGGAGGCACTTCAGGTTTTGAAAAAATCCTTTTTGCAACTTCATGCGCTAAGGCTTGCTAGTTTCATGAAATTGCTAGCAAATCTGTTGTCTTTCTATCTGAAACTGGCAGTTACGCTGGCAAAGGAAGGTCAAAGAGTCATGCAATACATTTTATGACAAATTATCCAAGCACCGCGGAGAAAAATCTGAATGTCGGTACAGGTGCCCCACATGCTCGTTTTAGAAAGTTACTGTTGCAGATGCCCACAGATGTAACTGTACTCTTGTTGCATGTGTATGCTCCTTGGTGCTTAAAGAGACACTGACACCCCCAAATATTTTTTTTAATTTTTTTGCCAGGCAATTTATTATGGTGTTAGAAGATACACAAATTTGCAATCCCTTTTTTGACAAGTTTAGAATGGATAAGTTATATGGTAACAGGGGCTTCTTGGCTCTAGGCTAGTAACTCCCACGTAGGTGACGCTTAGAGAGGGTGAGCTTGAGTCGAGAAACTGTATGACACTATTTACTGGTACCTCAGGCTGGAGAGGTTAGAGAGGAAGAAGGGCAACACCAAAAACAGTCAAGAGACAAAAACTCAAGATCGGCTCATGTTCAGCACCAAGTTTCAATGATCTACTTTTAGCGCATCTTGACACAGTCCTTTCGAACCGCCTGAGGGCTTTGAATGTAAGAAAGGTTTTTAGGTTTGTTGATGATTTTTTAGTCTTTCTTGACCAGGATGCGCCCCACTTCCACTCGACTGTGGACAGTCTCTTGACCGTTTTTGGTGATGCCCTTCTTCTTCTCCAACTTATGCATGAGGTGCCAGTAGTTAGTGTCATACAGTTTCTCGACATCAAGCTCCAGGAGGGGGTCTTTTTATTGATAGTCGTGTTAGTAGATATGCTGATTTTTGCCAGAACCTTGGAGGAATTGTATTTACAAACTAAATTAACTACCGCGTGTAAAAGAGGGATTGAGAGAGAGGCTTGATCTCAACTGAAGTGTTGGGCTGTGCTTCAGTTTGCAACCATTTTTTAAACAACCATTGTAAATTGAACCTACTCTGACCTAAGTCTCATTTCTAAAGAAGGCTGTGTGTTCTTCTTGCATCTTATCTATTCGACTACAAAAAATAATAACTAATATACTTCAGTACTATCAAAAAACCCTCAATCATAGGAACTCATTTAGCAATGCAATCAATTGCAGATGCAAATGTTATTTTTTTTCTATTAGGAGAGAGGAGGCAGAGAAGTTTTAATTTTCAAGTGATGGGCGAACAGATGCTGGTGTCTGCTTCAAAAACATCAGTGACTGCTCCAAACCAATATTTTGCCTGCTACTAAACCTGGTACAACCTGCTACAAAATCACTGAAGTGACCTCATAGTTTAATGGCTTCACGCTATTGCTCGCTTATCTCTGAGGACAGCTATCCTTGCAGCTAGCTCATATTTTTCTGTCGGTATTGTCAGGTTTGGCAAGTTCTGTAAAGCAGAAGGAGTTCAAGCCGACAGACTGCTGAGATGATCATTATTGGCCGGTGGTACATGTGCAACAGGCTATGTCAGCAAGCTTGCAAATCTGGTTGGATGTGTGTAAAAGTCAAAAGGGTCGATAGGTTCCTTGCATGTCTGCTTGGCGTATAATTTGAAGGGGAGCCATCTTCATGTGTGTGGAGCAGATTCTCCGTCTGCCTTTATGGATACTGCTGATGAAGCTAAATTTACATGTATTCCCGTCCTACCCCAACCAAGAGGTGATTTGAATAAAAAAAAAAAAAAACGAGGCTTTGAGCAGCATTTTAATGTCTAAGCATAAAACAAAAAGTTATTGTGGATGGTTCCTTAAAGCGACACCTTTGTTCTTTCTATTTAAGCTTTTAAGTTTGACAACGTTATAGGCAACCTTTTCTCATAGATTGTGAATAGACTTAAAGGGGTCATGAAACGCTTTTCCAACTTTTTCCTGTTTAGCTTTTCTCCTCAACTCATAAATCGCGCATTCCACCAAACAGTTCAAGAAGACGAAAAGAGGGGAGGCCCCTCTTGTTCGGAATCTGGTTTATGTACCCGGACAGAGCCATTGTCCCCCTAGAAGATTAGCCGTCGCTCAAAATTCAGACAAAAGTTGCTTTCCCTAACCCGTTCACCCCGGAGCTGACAGTGCTGTGAAAGCTACATGCTCGTTGGGCCAGCCACACTTGCCACATGATCACGCTCCTTCGCGCATACCCACACGCAAAGATTGAGGTCAGGTGATAAAGGGAGGCGGCTGATTGGTTCGGCAAGCGCGTAGCTTCCACCACAATGTCAGCTTAGGGGTGAAGGGACTAAGTGGTTTTGTGTGACGTCAGTTTGGACCTGATGACGCGCTTTTGGGACCGCGGATGTATCACTGTGAAAAGGCAGAGAGCTTACGAAGGGGAGGAGGTGCGAAAAAGTCCGCTGTGTTTTCAAATTTTCGCACTGAAAGTCAGGCTTTTGTCTTTCTACCTTTTTTCTTTTGGATTCACTGAACGATGTGCTATTAGTAACATCCCAATCGAAAATGATTTATCCCAACCCAAAATCCGTTTCATGGGCCCTTTAATGTCACTACTACGTGATGCACATTAAAAACTCCAGGCTGGCTGTGGTGCTGCATTGGCTAAATTTCTCATCTACAGCTGAGACACCAGATGCCCACTGAGGCTGAATAACTTCCGGCTGTCTAAACACAGCACAATTACCTTATAAAACCATCTGTCTAGATATACACTGACCAGAAGTGCTCCAGGGCTGTGTCTGATAGGTAACGTTATGTGCCATTGTGTCCTCACATAAGTGGTTGCATGTGGGCACAACGCACTTAGTCATGCTGAAGCGCAAATGTGTGAGGTAACGCTCAGATGGAATACGCCAGGAATTCCCTCTTTTGGTGCATCGCCGACAGGTTACTTCAGCCGAGTGGACGGCAACTCCATCCTGACTACAGACCAGAACAGCGAGCTGCGAGTGTACAGGGGTCCCCTCTGGCAAGACGTCACAATCATCCGGCAACCGCACAGGCAGTTCCAGCACCTCACAGCAATGCAGGTCGATCACTTTATGCTAGCCCTCATTGTTGTCATTCCCAAGACTTTGAAAGAAATTTCAAGAACCACTTTTCTTCTCATCTTTTTTTTTAGAAGGCATTACTGAGTTTGATGGTTCTCCAACTGCCCTAGCACTGTGCAGTCGAGTAGATGTCGATGGTGCATACCACAAGTATTTCATGTCTAGCATATATTTTACTGTCTGTGGAAGGGGGAGATTCAAGTTGTGCTAGTATTGAAGCCTCCTGTTTGGAATATCTCTATTAATCAATTTGTTTTTCTTAGGTCTCGACCCGAAACGGAATGCCCTCTTTCTTTAAACAAAAGAGCATGTTTTCTGGAAAAGTAGACATGCATTATGCTGATGTATTTTTCAGAGGACCAGGGTAAAAACAAATTACCTGGTCACCAATTTTCGTTTAACTTCTTTTTTTTTTTTTTGGCTATAAGATGTGCGATTTGCAGCAAAAGAAAAATCAGGGGTTGTGTTTTTTGCACAAAAATTTAATCTTTTTTTTAAGCGGCATTATCCCTTTAAGCGACAGACAACAAACTCGCTTGTGGCTTTCAGTTTCTTTCCACTTCTGCTATGCAGTCATGGCGCTTGTTTAGTTGCATGAGGCACAAAAATCAGAAGTGGTGTGACTGAAGTATGTTAAAAACATCTTCTCTTTACTGCCTACTTCCAGGCAACCTGGCATCCCTCGGAAGACTTCGTCGTCGTGGGACGGTACCCTGACCCGAAGTTCAAGGAGAAGGACCTTCGTGGAATCGACTTGTTTGACGGCCACGCTGGCGTGATGCTGGGCAAGATTCGCTCGTCTCTCGCGCTGTCAGGAATCTACTGCGTAAGGGGCTTATTTCGAAACCGTGTTTGCATTGATTTTTTACGTGGTCAGCTCCACCATTGCTCTTGCTGGCCTGGCTCGGTCTATCAGATTTTTCAAAATCAAATCTCTCTGGCATTTGCATTTTTTTAATGCAATTTCCCAAAATATGGGCGTTTGCATAAGCGCTTTCCTTTCAAAATCATGACTCATGCTGCTTTTTTTTTTTTTTTAAGGGGAACCAATTCTTTATAGTTTTTTCTCGTTTGATTGAGAAATATATTTTTTTTTACCGCAGGAAGTGTTTTTTGCGGTGTTTTTCTGCGAGAAAATAATCGCGAACGAGCATCGAGAACGAGTGGCTCGCTGGGAGCGTCACACGATGTTGAGATTATACATAATGTTTAAAAAATATAAAAAATAATAAAGAAATTTAAAAACTTTAAAAACAAAAAATAACTAAGAAAAAAAACATTGTGCCAAAATTGCAGGCTGATTCTCAACAAAATATGTCAGCACTTAGCGCTAGGGTTCCGACTCAGCGAGGGATGTGAGTTCCGAACTTGAAACAGAGCACACTGTTGTCTTCGGTGAGCCAGTCTGTTCTCCTGGGCATCGACGGTTTTAGATGCAGCCACCTCAGCATCCCTCAACCACCACCTAAGGGATCTGCAGACTGTTCACTCTGTATTTGCAAAGTGTATATCCGGCAGTGAAGTTTGTCGGGCAGGAAGTTTGTCGAACCTTGGGACATGCTGTGCGCCGCTTAGGTCTGTGTAGTTGCATAAATTTCATAACGCGAGCGCAGTTTCAAAGTAGCCGTGAGTTAGCAGACAACACAACAATTTACGATACCAAGCCTGCGTGCATGTGCTTCCGAGCGATTTGAAAAATGCACGGCAGCGCATTCGCGGTGAACCACGCCTCTTCGTCGCGCCTGTCCCATCCCCTGCAAGAGCGATGTAAGATGCACAACAGCGCATGCGCAGCGCTGTTGTGCATCTGCAAGACCGAGGGAAAGTGGACTTAACGAGCGAACGAGCAGAGCAAAAAAGCACGGCGGGAATCGTGCTGCGGCCTCACAAAACTACTCCAGTCCAAACCACGGCCGTCCAAACGAAAGACGGCTGCATGCAGCAGGGCAAGGAGGGTTAACGCATTTAAAACATAGGAATGATGCCCCAACCGGGGTTGGTGCGGTGGCAGTCAGATTCTATAGCCACTGAGCTGCGTAGCACACCTATTCTGGAAGCATTCTGCTACTGGCAATATGTGCCGGCCAGGGCGGTGGGCATCGTACCGTGTGACCGCTCACTTCATTGAAGTCACACATCGTGCTAGAGCCATATAAGATAGTGCTTATGCACTGCACTCAATTGCTTGGTTAACGTCTCTGGCTAACGTCTCCGGTGCATAATGAAAACTTGCACAAATGACAATGGAGCACGGTTTGTGTGGGACACATTCTGTTCTCCCCGATCTTTGTCAGCATCATTGAGCCAGCGTAATTTGTTTAAATTTTTAATTCATTAGTTGTTTTTTTTTTGATAAATGTTTGTAGGTTATTATAAAAATTAAACTTTTGAACCTCAAATATCTTTTTCTGGTGCAAAAGCGGTTTGTGGTCTCTCTTTTGGGGTCAAAGAGATTCAGGTGCGCTAGAGATAATCTACTTCAGTTACAGCTTTCCTTTACCACGGTGAATGGTTATGTATAATTAGGGTTCCGTGTTTTCTGGGTTTATTTTTCTTCAAATTCGTGCATGGTTTTTGGGGGCTCTATTTGTTTTGACGCGGGTTCTGCTTAAGCTTTTCCATGTAGGACAACAAATGTGTGTTTATCTGGGCTTATGTAGAAGGGGCCGCAACGTGGGATTCTGCAATCTCCGTGGAGCATGCACAATACACAAATGCCCTTGGAAATCGTCTAGTCACTCACCGATAAGAGAAGGAAATGAGACGGGGGGTGTGGCTCCCAAAGGAATAGGCAGCCTCGTGGGCTTTATTCGGGGTGGATGCAAAAGTAAAACTGTAGACAAAAATTTCTTCTCGTGAATCTTCGGTTTTTCTTACTTACGGACAGCTCAAATTTGGGTCGTTCTTGTTTTTTTGAATTTTGATCAAACTGAAAGACTTTGGAATTAATTTTCAGGGTTTGTCAGGTTACACCAAGAACACAGAAACCTAATTACGATTGCTTATGGTTACTATGTAAATTTAATTTGGTGATGGCAATTTAAGATGTAGAAAGCTTCAATATATTGCAAATTTTATTACACTGATGCTTCCATCATTTAGTGGAGCAACTAAAAGCATCTTCCGGGTTTTCAAAACATTGATCTTGTGCCATGTCTTGTGAACGAGCAAAGACTGGAGCAATTAAGCAAAAAGAGTATGTTTGCCATGCACTCTGTCTCCAAACCACCTTTCTTGTTTTCCCTTTTTTTTTTTCCTTTTTTTCTTTTTAAGTAAAAATTGAGAAAGTTTGAGCAATAGCATAGTAAAGAGAGTGAGAACTTGAGAGATAGCATTGTAGCATTTTCTTTATCGGAGAGAGAAATGAAAAAAGTCGGAAGACACTTAAACACTTCTTATGAGTTGTGAATGCAAAAGCTTGAATGTCCAATGGAACGCTACGGAGTGATCTGCGGAGTTTTGTGGCACGAGTAATGTTTTCGAGTTGTGGCAGAAGCACCGGCGACGATGTAGATGATGGAGGCGATGGCATGTTGGTCGGCGGCGAGACAAGCAGAAGCCTCTGAGCGCACGCCAACCTGTCCGTTTTAACCAGTGCCGGGCCTGTAGTGGCATGGGGCTGCGGCAGTTAGTTTTATCGGCGCGCTGGCGGCACAGACGCGCAGCGCCATCTGGTGGTGGTCGTTGAAACTGACGCGCACAGCGGCCAATGGAGCCTTATCGCCGTGCACCAGCCAATGAGGCCTTTGGGATCAAAGAAACTAGGTGCCACTTATGCGCTTCAAACTGATGACATCTGCTCGCTCCATGGGACAGTTAATGCTTTCGCATTAAAATGCAGAAAACAAACATGGTTGGCATAGATTCAGCAGGAGATTAACTTGAGGAGAGGCAGAGGAGGCCATTGGTCTGAGCACAATGCCTGCACATGTATTTTTTATTTTTTTGTTGCCTGGGCACAATGCCTACTCATGCATTTTTTATTTGAATGCGAAAGCGTTTACTGTCTCGTGGAACAAGCTGATGTCCTCAGTCTAAAGCGCGAAAACGGCACCTAGTTTCCTTCAGTTCCATTGGCTAGCGCGCATCGACGGGGCTCCCATTGGCCCCTGCGCTCGTCAGTTTCCACGACCGCTCACCCCATGGCGCTGCGTGTCCATCAGCGCGCCGTTTCTCCCGTGGGCACAGAGTGTCCAAGGTCGCCGTGCCCCGGGGAGGACACGCGCTGACCGGCGGCGAAAAGTGTGCAGCAGACGAAAAAGGGAGCGAACGAGCGGCTTGCATGCTTTCGCATTCACAACTCATGAGAGATGCTTAGGTGTACCTCAATCTTTTTTTCGTTGCCTAGTATATTTTACTTTGAAAACATATTTCTTTATTTTACTTTAAGAACACAAACGTCATGAGTGCGACGTCAGCGGCATCCTTGCGACTGCAATTTCAATACGGGACGACATTGCACTCGGTTTGACAACGATCACCGGCAACTTGATGCTTGCGACGCGCAAACATTACTCGGCGAAGGTGCGGTGTGCAAAGATCAGTACACAAGACCTCTCTTGCCGAGGTGACGCAAGCAGCCCGGACCTGTCGACCGCTCGCGTCGTATTCTCATGTCTAAACGAATTCTAAAATGTTACTCTGAACCAAGAAACTTGTTTTTTCTCAAGTTGCAGCATTTCGTGTGTGAAATAAAAATTGTTACTGTATCTTAGTGGCGTTGCAAGTGCAAGATGCTTGGGCTTTTGCGTCGTGGCAGAGAAAACGCTATTCTAAAACTTTCTTGCGTAGAGTGCGCTAACGCAAGTGCTAAAGTGCTAAATGTAGTGCCAGCGTGCACCAAGATTATGTATGTTATTCCAAAAATCCCTATTATGCACTCAGAAAATAAATCTGCATCTAATGACTTTCTTTACAGCTGAACAGCTTCAACTGTTCTGGTGAAATCCTGGCCTCAGGCATGGGTAAGTGCAATGTCAAAGTATAGTAAGTCATTTAGCTTGTGCGAGACAAACATATTGATAGTTCAATACCTGACATTTGTATGGCCACCTAACAAACTCATTCATGCATTAAAGTTTTTACCAAAATACTGCATGACCTTACAGTTAGAGCCAGGCATGGGCAGCATTTTAAGTTTAAAGCACAGTAGGGTTCACTAAAAATCCTGCGTGCGAGTCTGATCGGCATTTATTTTTTTTATTTACACAGTACCTAAATTGCCACAAGGGCATTATTGTAGAGTGGTAAATGATATAAAAAGAACACTTGTGTCGTCACTGAAACATTGTTTGAAAATACAAATTCATGAAAAACAACAAAGTAATGATTACTGTAAAACCCTTTATTTTCGCGGCCCCGATTTTTCGCGAGTTTGGCAGGGGGGGGGTCATATTCACTGCCATTCAATTTCGCGGAATCTTAAGGCTTGAATTTGCACTTACGGACAGTTGAAATATTCGCGCCCACTAAAGTTCGCGAAGTTTACAAGTCACGAAATTCGCGAAAATTGGGGGCTCGCAAACATTAAGAGTTTTACAGTATATTACAGAAATACCACAACACAAAAGTGCAGTACACAAGAATCACTGACCACTAATATCAAAAGTTGTTTAAAACAGAGGAAAACATGGCATCGGAAATTCTATTGACCGTGTGTTGTGGAAGACAATTTCAGTCACTAATTTATTTTGGAAAAAACTAATTCTTAAACGTTTCTGTTCTGCACTTCATGTTTCTAATGTTTAGTGGATGATCTACTCTTGATTAGATATAATCAGAAATATACAAATAGTTCTTCGTAATACCTGTTTGTTCTAAAAACATATTTCGGAAAAGTTTTATTCTAAGAAACTTCTGTAAATCAAGTAATTTCTAATCTAGTTGTTGCTTTAAGTTTGTTATGCTTGGGCAGAATTTGTAATTATTTTCCGCAAAGCGAGCGGCTCTATTTTGTGCACATTCTGGCTTCGGTATTTGATTTAAAAAATATGGGTCCCACACTGGGCACGCAAGATTTTTTTTTGACATTGGTCGAGTATAACAATTGCTTGACCCCGTGCCTACTCATTTTTTTCTTCAAGGAACGTACAGAAAAATTTTATTTTAAATGGGCAATTTGCATTAAAATATAACAAAAATATTTCCTCAACTTCCAGGTGTCATACCTTTCTCTAAATCAGGACTTCTGGTCCGAGTCTCACTGATGTGCAGACGCCCAAAGTTGATGGCACGCTTGCGAGATTCACATCATTTTCATCACTCCTGTCACTGCCCATCAAACTATTGTCTGACACCAAAAATCGGAAAGGCCAAAAGATTCGTTGTCAAACATGCCTGAGCATTTATCCCATTCAAAAAAGAAGGTTTTGTATCTCTTCGTTGGCTAAGGTGGACCTTCGCGCCAAAGCCATGTTGTTTTAGCGTGAACACTCACAAGCGAATTCTTTTTTTTTTTTTTGCTTGGCTAAATGGAGTGTTCTTTCTCTGTCAAAGAGCAAAACAAACGAGCAAACTATACCCAACGTAAATGGTGCCACAGGGGTTATTCTTCCATCTGCCAGAGAGTGCGCTAAACAAGCGCCGAAACCAAAACGCGAGTCACACTCGTGGTTGGGATTTAGGGTCCGTAAAAGGTGGCACGAGTGACACTCCTTAATAGTAGGCACGGGGTTAATGTTTGATGGGTTCTGTTTGAAATTCCCTTTGATGAAGTTTAAAATGCTGTTGGCATTAATTGTTATTTGTCTATGTGTTTATCCCAGGAGAGATAGCGGCTAAAGTAAACACCCAGATATTTGACATCAGTTAGATCCTTCACGGCAACACCGTTCAGCTCATATTTTGATAAGAATGGTTGCCTTTTTTTTTTTTTTTGCAAATGTAACATAATTGCATTTATTAATATTTAGAAACTATTCCCATTCGCTACACCATGTCATTACTTTTTCTTCAAAATCTTTAGGTGCTTTTTCTGACGTGAAAGGAATATAATCAACACATTGTTCTTTAAAGGAATATTTTGCAGGAAACAAATGCATTTACCTGTACTAATTATTTTGCTAACATTGTCAGGTTTGATGGCAGATATGCAAACAACAATAACACTAAACTCAAGATGCTTTTGTTTTAACAGATGTATTTGTTTTTGTCTGAAATGCTTGTAGGATTATAATGCTGGTATATATGTGGCATGTCAAAGGTGTACAGACTTGATGACTGCTGCAACTTTTTTGCATTTTAGCAGTTCTGTCAATAATAAGTTAGGCAAATCAAATGGAACCTTCAAGCATTGGCCTTCTAGCAGTTCTGGCAATGATAAGTTAAGCAAATCAAATGGAACATTCAAGCATGAGTTGTGTATGTTGTAGTTTACCATGCATTCATTTCTGTCCTTATTGATGGCTCTATCCCTTCTCTGTTCTATGAATCAGTCGCATAATTCCTGTTCACTAGTCGGGGAAAACCTGAAAAAGTTGAGAAATAAAAACAGATATGGCTAATAGCCCATCAATTTTCAGTTTGATGTTCAAACTATGTTTGTGGCACTACTTATGATTGTTTCTTAGTGTAAAAGTTTAGAAGTACCAGATTTCTGGTGATACATGAGGGGAGACACGCGGGGGCGAATTAAGTGTTTTTCTTAGAGCAGGGGTTCTCAAACGTTTTGGTCTCGCGGAACCCCAGAAAGCCTCAAAAACTGCCGCGGAACCCTCCCCCCCCCCCCCCCCCCTTATTTGCCAACCGAGAATCAACAGATGCACAATTGTAGGTAATTTTGCTTGCGTTGCTTCCCATATATCCCCACCATATCAGTCGCGATGTCAGTACAAAGTGAGATGAAGGCGCTTTTCATGGTCCTGCCGCGCAGCCTGCGGCGGGGGAGGGGGGGTTGCAATTTGGGTGTTTGCGGAACCCATGAGACCAGCTTGTGGAACCCCTGTGTTCCCCGGAACCCAGTTTGAGAACCCCTGTATTAGAGCACCTGGAAGACTTCCTGCTTTATTGACACACAAAGAAACTTGTGTCATACACAAATCAACATGCCATTCCAGTATCTCTCACATCTCGTCATGATTAACTATCTTTATGAAACAAATCCTTGGACAGTCCGTACCTCTACTTGTATTCACTTCAAGAACTCTGGTAAAAAGAAAGTCCGGCTGCTCGCAGAGCGTTACTAATTTTCTCCTTTCTGTGTTCAATTAAGATTTATATTATTTTTTCAAGATAAACATGTTTCAAAAGCCAAGATTATAGATTTTTCTTAAAACAACCAAATTTTGTAAGACTACTCTGCGCAGCGCATGTGAATTGTGAGCAAAACATTCTCTTTTCTTGGTGTGACGAGTATAGATGACCCGCACCGCATAAAATGTCAACTTTTAAACAAGCATAGTCCACCGACTCTAGTCTGGAAAATATGATAAATGATTTTCCCAAAAACGTTTCAATGCCTGATGTTCTGTTGCAGGTTAAGAAAAGTAGAACAATCTACTCCCACAAAACCTTCCTCTGTTTCCACTTTAGCAAAAGGAAAGCCAGAGAGCAACAAGTTCTTGTTCATCTCCTCTGCAGCATTGACTCTGCTAAAGTAGGAAGGATGGAAGGCTTTGCAAGAAGAGCTGGTCCTGCTTTTCTTAACTGGCAACATACTATGTGTAGTGTCAGCATAATTTAATTTGTGTGGCTATTCTTAACTTGGCTGTTTCTGTTTCTTTGACAGGCACTCAAGCAGTCATTTTTGGAGCAGCGCTTGAGGAGTAACTTCTGCATCATCTTGCATTATTCATCATAAAAGAGATCCCCACAATTAATTTTTTATTAATTTTTATTGCATTTATAGGCACCAAGGCCATGTCATTTTTGCACTGTGCATTACAGCACACTCTGGTGCAGTATTACTTGTTCTGTAAATGTTTATGCACGTTTTTCATTCAAAGTTTTAATAACGTCTGTTCTTTTTATTAGTTACTGTTGAAGTGGCGGTATTCTTGATTACGCCACTGATACTATTTTTTTAACACACTAGTGCCATCATTCAAAAGTGCTTGGAACATTTTAGCACAGTAGTGCTCAAAAAATTATTTACTTTTGCATTTGGGCATTAAGACTGTGTCCATTGGGTCCCTCTGCATTTCCCTGGGCATTACAACACGCTTTAATGTAATATTACTTGTTCTGTAGATGTTTATCCACTGTTTCAGGGATGCTTTTTATCAGAAGCTTTAATAAAGTGGAATCTGTATTTTTAAGTATCTGTAACATATTCTTCTTCACATGCTTTACTTTTTTTTTTTTCAGCAGTGTTATTGTACAAATGTAGAGGAGCATACTAGCGATCATCACTTTTTACTTGGGACAGATGCTCATAATCTCAATAATTAGAAGTCTGGCTTTATGCACATTGTAGTTGCTTTCAGGGGTAGTTGAAGTGGCCCAACGATTACTCAGTTTGGAAACTGCCATAGGAGCCTGCACTAAAGAAGTGGCTCCAAAAAACTAAATGTGATCGTACGCCACCATTTCCCCCGCAGTAGCCACTCGGGGAACTGCATGGTTGCACCAGACTACCGCATTCAATACTCAATAGGTTGTTTGCACATGACGTCAATTTGCCACTTGTTGTTAGTTTGTTTTTTCAAAGAAATTTATTACATTGAAGGATTACATCGTAACCGGTTGAGATGATGTCAGCGGTGCTCTACGGATTTGAGGGGGCATGTAAATACTTGGAATGCTCGAGTTTGGCACACGCCAGACAGCTCACAACAACAAAATGGTGGACGAAATTACGTCAGTGAAAACACCCTATACTAGCATACGCTGTTACTGTTAAATTTTGACCTTAAAGGAGCTGTGCAACAATTTCCGGGCTTTGCTTAGATTATTGTGGAAGTTGATGCCTGACACTTCTGAAGTGAATTACAGAAAACATATTTTGCCTGGATACCCTAGTTTTTATTTAAAAATGATAAAGATCCAGATTTTTGTCGCCTCTCAACTCGTACTTCCGGGTCACGTGCGAAGTGACGTTGATGGGGTAGGCGCGGGGTTCCGGAAAAGTTCTCTCTTTAGAGCCATCAGTGAGCGGCGAGAACTCATCCGCTCGGGACCGCGTGACCACGTCCTGGCGGGCGCCGCCCCGCTAACACCACCAAAAGATCTAGGGGGTGTTGGCGCCTCGCGAACAATATGGTGAAAGGAGGAAAGTCTCATCCAGGTCCGGCCATACCCGTCCGGCGTTGTCCCCCTCCCTCTTTGGCTTCTGGCGGCTGTTCGCGGTAGGCTCAGAGAGAGCCGACGGTTTTGTGGACCTAGGATTGATGGCGCCACTAAAACTCCGTATAATAAAAGTTTTGTCGATGATACCAGGTTTTTGACGGATTTTATATATATGTTGGAATGAAAAGATTTATAGAAAAGTTACCTTTTATCGAACAGGTATTCGCACAACTTGCTATCTTTCTACAAGATTCCCCATTGACGTCACGCCGCGTGTTTCTCATGGCCGCCGCTCGCGGCTGCAGGTCTGGAAATATTCTAAGTTTTGCATCGCTATTACGCGGCAGAATCGCAACATTTCGATGAAAGGTGTGTTTTTTGTCATTTGTGACAAGGTGAACAATATCAAAAGCAGATGCCAATTCGTTCAACGTTAAAATCATTGCACAGCTCCTTTAATCGGCCATTTTGGCATCAACATGTACAGGGTCACCAAAAAAAAAATAAACAAGATTTCTTTTTTTTTTTTTTTACGCAAAAAAAAAAAAAATAGCAGTAGAGGTCACAACCAGAGGCCAAAGTTTCAGCCCGAACAGATAATTGATTCAAAAGTTACAGGCTTTCAAAAAGCTCAAGGTGACCACAGTCCAGACAAATGATAAAGAGTGGCGCTGTTGTCGCATTTAGCTCGGTCTCGGTGGGCGTCAGCGGCCCAGGTTTCGGCGGTGAGTTTCCCAACTGAGTGTTTTAGTAACGTTGACCGAGACCGAGCTAAATACGACAACAGCGCCACTCTTTATCATTTGTCTGTACTGTGGTCACCTTGAGCTTTTAGAAAGCATGCTTTAGCGTAAAAACAAACGAAAAAGACTCTTTTTGCATGAAATTTATTGGAGTTTAGTACAAAATGAAGGACGCGTAATGTTTTTATAACCTTTAGTTTGCAAAGTTTTGCGGAACAATTAATATTGTTTTTATACAACCATGCCTCAGCGCTCCTTTCAGGTAGCGCGTCCCGACCTATAGGTGCATTTTAACTACGGTAGAAATTCGCGGCGCGTCCGTTGGGGAGGCGGGGGTGGCACCCCTGTGACCTCTTCCGCTGTACATGTTTCGGCAGCAAAATGGCCGATTAAAGCCAAAATAGAAGTAACATGCGGTTCCTCGAGTGGCCGCTGCGGGAGAAATGGCGGCGTTGTGTTCGCCATTAGCTCGGTTCTGGTGGACACATTGGGGCCACTTTTTCAGAGCAGTCTCTATGGCAGTTTCCCAACTGAGTGGTTCTATAGTCGGTTACAAGTCAAGAAGGTAGGAGAGGCTCCTCCCACAAGTGTGACGCGCCCGTTTCATATCTCTCCGCAGTCGAAAGAAGAGTTCACTGGAAACGCTCCTTGTTCCGCTTCAATGGATTCCAACTTGTCTCCGATCCCACTTTTTAAAGGGACCATGAAATGACCTTTTTACTTTTTCCAGATAACTTTTACATTAAACCGTCAATGTTCACTGAATGCCGAACAGGCATCCGTTTTCGTCTCGGTTTATTAACTTTTACACAAAAAATTATTGAAATATCGACTTTTTCATTCTCTCCAACTGACCGCAAAAGAAGCCGTGACGTAGACCGTTTCCGGAACCGGAAGTTCTCTCGGCAGTAGGAGAATGGGAGTGTTAGCGGCAACGAGTTGGGGTGCGCCGGTAGGTTTTACTGCGCTGATGTCACCGACGTATTTCCTGAATCGGCGCCTCTCATCGCCGCATCGCAGCTGAGCGAAATTCAACGAGATATGTTGCGCTACAGCGACAGCATGGGACTAGTCCCATACGCCGGTATGCCTGTTGGGAAGTGCAGCGAGTCTTGTCACCACCCCGTCATTGTTGGCAGAAGGGCCGGCCCGTGTCAGTCGTTTGCAAAGCGACGTAGATGGCGTTTTTCGCGGCCTCGGAGATGCAGGAGCGAGCCGACGTTAAAAAAGATATGTTTGAACTACGAGTGTCAGCAAGAGCCACGTAAATACCTGCTTACACTCGGAGCGGACGCGCGCGCTTGATGGAAGTCTTGTATTCGCGCTGTTGGTAAGCGCTTCGGGACCGTTCTTTTACGATTGCAACTCGATACTGACGCGACACTCGGCAAAGAAAGGTTGGACCGGGGTCGACAGTGACGTGCAGTCTGTCAGAATAAAAATGGCATACCAATAACAAAGCGTACATACCGTGTTACGAAGGCAATCCATACGGCGTTTATTTCAGCTCTATATCACACAAAACAAGAAGATAGAATCGACGAGAGTCCCTTTTCGACGAGTGTTCGTCAACACTGCCTCGGAAAACAAGGGGAAGAGATTGACCTCCTCACCTCTTAATCTAGAATTGAGGTCAGTGATCAAACTATAATACGGGAAGGGTCCACAAGGGTCGCGCGGGCATATTCCATTTAGCACGCCAGCCGGTCGTAGGCAGACGGTCTTGCGACGAAGCAACGCAGCGCCGGGTCGGAATGCCTGCTTTTGGGCTCCCTATTTTTGTGTTTTTGTGTTTCTTTTCACACCTTTTACGACGTGCGGTGAATGAAACTCGATTTTAAAATCATTTCATAGTCCCTTTAAGAAAGCGACCTTTGTATTCATCGGAGAGGGAACCGAGCCCCTGAAAGCAGCCTTTGTATCCATCGGGGGGGGAAGCTAATCCCCGAAAGTCGTATTTGTTTCCGTCGGTGGGGGAGAACTCTAATCTCCCTCTCGTGGCTTCCACAATGCTAAGTGAAAGTCGAAAGATAAAGCAAATATGTACAAAAAGGCAAGACCCTCCTCGCGCGTTGGCCGCGACGTCAAGGAAACGGTGGGACGCTATTGGATGCGGAGGTGGCGGAGGGATATCTGATTCCCTTTGAGGGGCATTTGCCGCTACCTTCTGTTACAAACAAACCGGAGCGCCCCTAGCGGACGCCACCGGCGCCGCGCATGCGCGATGGGGGTGTGGGCAAAAAGAAGCGAGCATGCCGGCCGTGTCGCGGCGGTCGCCTATTGTTCGCCGCGACCTACCGGTAGCCGCCGCAGGAGCATCGGGGAGCAATGGCGACGAAAAGCACGGCAGATAGTGTCCCCGTCGTGATTACGAAGGAATTTAAGGCAGTTACGAGTTCGGAAAGTTCCTTCGGTAGCCGGTGCCGTCGGCGCAGAATCATCGGGAAGTAATAGCAACGAACGCCACAGAGGACCGAGGGCGATTACGAATCCGGAAAACTTCTTCGGTAGCCGGTGCAGAATCATCGGGGGAAGCAATGGCGATGAGCAGCACAGCTAGCACAGCGGATAGTGTTCCCGGTGTGATTACGACGGGGTTTAAGGCGGTTACGAATCTAGAAAGCTTCTTCCGTGGTACCAATATGAAGAAGGGAAAACTCCTTCGTGAATCTGGCCGCGTGTACGACGTGAAGGAGGTCCGTTTCGACGGACAAGTGGATGCCACGGAGCGCCGTACTCCGCTAACAAAATTAAGCGTGCCCGCAAAAAAATGTAGTTGGCGTTGAGTGGACCGTGGTAATTATGTACGTTTATTTCTGAATCAGCTTGACAATAACTGGGCGATTTTTTTCGCGCCGTTCCGCGATTCCCACTATCTTCCTGTAGGCTGATGGAAACATCCAAGTGTAGGCTTATGGGGGCGACCGCACTCCGCTTCTCGATTCCGGTGAAGTATTTGCCGCATACTTTAGAGTTTGCCGTCGGTGCCGATGCTGTTCCATCGTCGCTAGAATAGAAAAAAGTTAATTGTATTATTCGTCAGCAGCTTAAACAAAGCGCGAACAGAAAAGTAAGAAACGCCACTAACCTGTATGGACGCACAAGTCGCACCTGCAGGTCGCGTGGTACTCCGCCTCGTACGGCCGTACGGCTTCGAAGGGACGATGTAGTACTTCGTGCCGTGTGCGATCTTCGACGTACTGTTGCAGCCGACCACGCAGCAATTGTTGCGGCTTTCTTGGTGCGGAATAGCCATCTCAGAAATTACAACGCTAACCCACTACAACGCACAACCAACGCAGCGACTGGCAGAAGCTCCCCGATGCGATGGA